CTGGTGCAGGAGGGAGCCTACAGTTTTGTCTGTAGCAATAAATCATGGCATTAGGAAAGTATACTAGAGTAGATAATAGGAGGTCGTCCTCGAGTTACTGCTCGACCGTGACGATAGTGGTCTTTGTTGCTCTATGCTTAGTTGGAGTTTGGATGATGACATCGTCCTCCTCTATTTCACCTGTTCAAAATATAGATGAGACTCCTCAGGAGACTACAACCAAAGTGAAGGAACAGGTGGCCGAACCTAATAATGAGGGCAAGAACGAGGGAAATAATCAACAATTTGAAGATAGCCCTGGTGATTTACCTGATGATGCAACTAAAGGAGATGGCAATACAGATTTACCTCAAACTGAAACTAATACTGACGCAAAAGAAAATCCTAATGAAACCAACCCCGATACAAAAGAAAACCAAAGTGAAAATGATTCTGAGACAAAAGAAAACCAAAGTGAAAATAACGCTGAGACAACAGAAAAGCAGGAGGGGACTGAAGAGAACCCTGAGGGAAAGAATAATGAGGAGACTAAGTTGTCAAATACCGAGACACAAGATGGAGACAGCAAAGATGGTGATTCTAAGACAGAAGATGGAGCATCTAATTCTGAGGGTGGGGAGGCAAAAACTGACGGTAGTGAAGGTAATTCAGGTGAGCAAGGAGATTCTGATGAAACTCAAGATCAAAACAGATCTGATTTGGGTGATGGTGACAAACAGTCCAAAAACAATGATGCTGAAACAAAATCCGATGAGAATTCCGACAAATCAAATGGAGAAAATGTTGAGGGTCAAGTAGATGAGAAGACAGAACAAAATGAGAACAAGGAGTCAGAAACATCTGATGAGAAAAAGGAGGATGAGCAGCCCAAAAACCAGACCTTGAATGAGGTATTTCCTTCTGGTGCTCAGTCAGAGCTACTGAATGAAACTGTGACACAGAATGGATCATTCTCAACCCAGGCAACAGAATCAAAGAATGAGAAGGAAGCTCAGCTGTCTTCCAAGCAATCAACAGAATATAGTTGGAATCTTTGCAATGTCACTGCTGGAGCTGATTATATACCTTGCCTTGACAATTTGCAAGCCATTAAAGGGTCTTCCAACTACTAAACACTATGAGCATCGAGAAAGGCATTGTCCTGATCAACCGCCTACCTGTCTTGTTTCGCTTCTGAAGGGTATAGACTCCCGGTTGAGTGGCCTAAAAGCAGGGAAAAGGTTGGGTGAATTAATGTGTGATTTTCATTTTTGCTCTATGTCTCTTCCTGATTACATGACTCACAAGGTGCATGTCTGCAGATATGGTACTATAATGTTCCCCATACCAAACTTGCTGAAATTAAGGGACATCAGAATTGGGTTAAGGTTGCTGGCGAATATCTCACTTTCCCTGGTGGAGGGACTCAGTTTAAGCACGGTGCTCTTCATTACATTGACTTCATACAAGAGGTGAGCATTTTCAGATGATAATATTTTTTTCTAACTCTATTTTGATTGATTGACTGATAACTTTTTATGCGGTATAGTTTGCAGTATATGATAGGTAGGTTTACTGCTCATTCGATTTTGGTACTTAGCTGTTTTTTGTTATTGTTTTTTGTCTTTCTTTCGGTCTCTCTGAATCTTGTTTTGTACTTATTCATGTTTGTATCACATCCCTGTACCATATTCTAGGTTATATATTTTTTAATCGGCATCTTTTGATGAATGCATGCTCATGTCTTGTTGAGACGAACAAATAGATTCCATATTGATGACGCTTATTTTTCGAATGTATGCTTGATGAATGTTGCCTTATGAATATAGTCCTGCTCTGGATTTATTGACATTCTATGAGCTTGCCATGCCCATTAAAAGGTAAAACATGTGCAGCTCAGTATTTCTCTACATTATAATCTAAGTAGTTATTGCTCTTGAAATTGTTTGAAAATTTATGAGCAGAAAGAATAAAGCAGCAGTGGAGCTGTTCGAAAAATCATGTTCTTATCCTGAATGTACTGTCACAGCAATTTTCTTTTTATCAAAATTTAAAGATTGTTGTATCTGGAAGTTATACCGCGGAACCAGTATTTTGTTGACTGTCTTAAAAAAATTTTAAAAACTAATAAAACTAAAGGATATTTCGATCTACAACCGAAGTTTAAAATTACTTGGATACTCCTGACTATCATTATCTGGGGCTATGCCACCAAGCTGTTTCATTTCCTCATTCTTTTTGTTTTTCCATCTTTCTTTTAGATTTAATAGGCAGTAGGCTTGTTTCTTCTGAAGTGAATTCCATCAATGATCTATTCACTGACAAGGATAACTTGCTAATTGTTGGATTTCTGAAGGTAGTTCCTATTGTGATGTTTCCCGTAGTTGAATGGTATGGCATTTTCTTGGATTGCTGAAAACATTTTCTACCTTTTTCATCTTTTCCTCCCCTAAAAAAAAGGTTGGAAATGCCCGTCTCTCTAATAGAAAGTTTATTGTATCTTCGATAGGGTCAATAATATGCATTTTATGGATGTTAAATCACATAAAAATAGTGACGTTTAAGTTTCTATCTGTTATCAAAACTATTCCTGCAAGTTTATAGTTACTATTTATATTTTTTTTCAGTCTATCCCTGACATTGCTTGGGGAAAAAGATCTCGTGTTATATTGGATGTTGGATGTGGGGTTGCTAGCTTTGGAGGTTTTCTGTTTGACAGAGATGTGCTTACCATGTCTTTTGCACCTAAAGATGAGCATGAAGCTCAAGTGCAGTTTGCACTTGAAAGAGGAATCCCCGCAATATCTGCTGTGATGGGCACAAAGAGACTTCCATTCCCTGGCAGAGTTTTTGACATCGTCCACTGTGCACGCTGTAGAGTCCCATGGCACATAGAAGGTGTTTAATCACTCTACTTTTGAGAGTCCTGAGATATGCATCTTAGTTTGCAACTTTTGTTGGGTTGCAGCTCTACTAAAATGGAAATGTTAATGTTCTGTGCGGGTGACACTGCTTTTATCTCTATGAATATCAAGAATCTAATATTTATGTTAATTATTTTGCATAAGTTCCACCCTTCACGGAGTAAAGCAATATGCAGGCGGTAAACTGCTTTTGGAGCTAAATCGTGTACTTCGACCTGGTGGTTTCTTTTTGTGGTCTGCTACTCCTGTTTATCAGAAGCTTCATGAAGATGTTGAAATCTGGAATGGTGAGGATTCCTTACCCTAGCTTTTTCTGGATTCTGTGAGCGGTTCATTGAAATTAACTCCCTGTTCTATTGTGGGAATTTGTTTGCAGCCATGTCTGAACTAACAAAGAAACTTTGCTGGGAACTTGTGTCCGTTAACAAGGATACAGTCAATAGAGTGAGTATAGCAATATATAGAAAGCCTACTTCCAATGAGTGCTATGAGAGCAGACCACAACCTGAGCCTCCTCTCTGCCAACAATCTGATGATCCAAATGCGGCCTGGTAAGCTTCGTTTCCAGTTTAGGCTTATATCTTTGCTAAATGAAGAACTGGCATTTGTTTATTAGAAACTTAGACATGAAAGGTTAGTTTCGGTAGGGAATAAGGATGTGCGTCAGTTATGCTTAACCCTACTGTTTGTGATTGCATCACCTTGTGAATATTTCCCATTTCTTTTGGGAGTTGTGCAAAATAATTATGGTGATGGATTAAAGCTACAATGAAACAAATGAATTTCATAAAACGTGTAGATTTCATTTGCAAATGCATATTTTTATTCACATTCTGAAGATAAATATTTGTATTTGCAAATGAATTGGACACAGTTTTGTAGAATTCATTTATTCCGAACATTGATTAAGAATAAAAGCATCTCTTTTACAAACATGTTACTCAAGATTTTTGTTTCATTAACAACCTAACATCTCTTCTTGCAGGAATGTGCCACTGCAAGCATGCTTGCACAAGGTGCCCATTGATGCAGTAGAACGTGGATCTCAGTGGCCAGAGCAATGGCCATCTAGGTTGGAGAAACCGCCTTACTGGTTGTTGAGTTCTCAAGTTGGAGTTTATGGTAAGCCAGCACCAGAAGATTTCACTGCAGATTATGAGCACTGGAAACGAGTTGTGACCAAGTCCTACCTAAATGGCATTGGAATTAACTGGTCAACTGCTCGGAATGTCATGGACATGAGATCTGTCTATGGAGGGTAAGCAAAACAATTGTTTGAAGTAGGATGGGGGGAATTTTTACTAAGCTCTGGGTTTTAATGCCCCTGCAGCATAGGTTTGCTAATCCAAAAGGAAAAACTTTGATCAATTGAATGCTTGTCATTGTTTTAGATTAAAATTGTCACTGGAAATCATGACCTTACCATTAGCACTAAATGGCCATGCGGACACTGATGATGAGCCAGACATTTGGTCTGGATGTTACTTTGGGCTTGGGAAGCTCATGCTTGCTGTTGTTTAATTTTATTGTGTTAGTTATAGCTTCTAACCTGATGGTTTTGCTTACAGTTTTGCTGCAGCTATGAAAGATTTGAATGTGTGGGTCATGAATGTGGTCCCAATTGACTCCCCGGATACACTTCCCATAATTTATGAGCGAGGTCTGTTTGGTATTTATCATGACTGGTGTGAATCATTTAGCACCTACCCAAGATCTTATGATGTTCTGCATGCCGATCATCTTTTCTCCAAGATAAAAAAGAGGTTTGTATGATATGCTGGATTACATTCATTGGCAAGCATTCATCTGATTGGAGTTCATTTCGTTTATTTCTGTTATAGTTTTCTAATTGTTCATGTGTGGGCAACACAGATGCAATTTGATGGCTTTGGTTGCTGAGGTTGATCG